TGATTTTGTGGAGTCATGAAAAAGAAGACGGAGAGGATCGGGGCAAGGGAGAGATAAATCTTTGGAAGACATTTTTTCGATAAAGGATGAACATCTTTTGCGAATTATAGGTAATCATCGATAAAAATAGCCTGTCAGTAGAAATTAGATTTTCGAATTTTGAAGCGGCATAACTTCCGTTCAACGTTTTTAACAGACTTGGCGAGACACTGGCGGGCTAGAGATCAGTCTACTTATCCAAAGTTAGACTTGCTAGTGACTGGAGGGAGTGAACAAATGAAAACTGGCATAAGCAGCTGAAGTACTGCTAGAACGATTTTCACTCGTTCGCTTATCAGAGCAGGAACGCAGCTTTATAAGTTAGTTTTACAATGGTGTGGTATGTCACTTGCTGCTTCAAAAGTAAGTAATTACTATTTATTTCTGTAGGTGGAAGCAAATCGACGTGCGCCTCCTCATATTCAGTACAGTTCGGAAAATACTGTATCTGTTCAAGCAGACAAGGCTAGAATTTATTTGTTTCCCCATGACAGTTGTCTCAGCCTTTGGGCCATGTTTTTGTTGTTGAGCTATTTTTGTTATACTAATTTTCAGGCGTCTTGGAATAGTAGCGATAACCGTTTCATTTTGCCAGCAAAAATTGATAATTTTTATTTGTTCTACGACGAAGACTGCAACGAGCAAGCGATGATGTAAGATGTGCTGCACTTTGAGGCTTTTCTCTCGTTTCGTTACAGTGACCGTATCAGTTCCCTCTCGCCGTCCTTGCTTGTTTTCTCACCAATGTTTGTTCTGCTTGAGAGAGAGCCACTGGGAAGTAGTCCGAGTATTAACGCACGGGCCAGGTGTAACTGATCCGTTGGAAGAGGTACGAATGATTCCCTTTTCCGGGGATGTCCCAAAGCATGTTGATGATGCTGCTTTGAACACTGAAAATAAAGTGAGGTAGCTTTATACATTCGCATAGCTAAACGCGTCGCCTGGACAGACACCCTGATTGCCTGACATTAGTAATGTCAGTGTTCTACTGCGCTCACAAATTGGACGAAGTTATTGCTACCCTTCCACGCATCTTCAGTATTGTCCGTTGCTCATACCATGTGCGCCTGCCGGTTTTTCCAGGACTGGTTCGATTGACTGTTTCTATTTTTGCTAGTACCGCCAACGGGTGCCCATTCCTCTCAAATAAGTACAACCACAGAAATGCGTCCAAGCGTATGTGTAACTCCCTCATATAAGTTTTGAGGTTCTTAGAGATAACCGCATTTGCATAAGATCTTGATGAACAGTAACCGAGAAAACAATCTGAATTCCAATGTAACTATAGCATGATAGCCACGTTTTTCGGAATTAAATAAGCGAGCATCATCGTTCTCTCCATCTCCTATTCGTCGATTGTGAAAAAAACATTCAGTAATGAAGAGCTGAATGTTATGCTACGAGCTCTTGTTGGTGAAGGGATTGTTGTGAAAAGTGAAAATTATTAAGAAAATGAACGTCGGCCGCTTAGCAGATAACATTTTTTCCCACTCCAACTCATATATCGATCGAGTGAGGAGTAAGGCAAGGCAATCCCACATCGTCCATGCTTTTCACATTCTGTCTCCAGACGTTATTTCGGATGTTGGGTTGAAAAAAATGGTTTGAGAATTGAGGCGAGCAGCTGAATCGCTCGCGATACATGGGTGACACAGTTCATTTTGCGAACAGTTCTCGCGAAATGGGATTCTGGAGGAGCTTATTGTACGAAGCAACAGGGTCTGAAAAACGTGGCGAAGGTGACGCAAAGTGCTGGTATGCTCGCGGTAAGGCTGCAGATGCACAGTGTTGATTTGGAGGAAGTGTTGAATCGGGAAGGTATAATTCACCTCGTCGGTCTCACTGTGTTGAAGGCAGTGACATACGAATGCGAAATATGGCCGCTAATGAAAATAGAGAGAGCGACGGATATTTGGATCTTCCCGCATTCATACAAATAATCATACCGTCGTTCAGTCGAGCATTTTGTAGGATGTTGCTGCGACGACTCAAGGAAGAGAATCCGTTAGGCAGGGGATGTTGCTCGTTTTCCGATAATTGGTAGATATCGCGGATGAGTGAGCGGTACTCACCGGAAAGTAAGCCCCCAGTGCCGTAAAGCCGTACCATAGCTGTGTCCGGTTTATGGAAACACTCCAGTAACGTTATCAACATTTAAAATTCACACTGCTTTTCGGACGATCTTGGCCTTGAATGAGTTTCTGTTTTTGCGGATGACTTTCTTAATGCCTATTTCAAAGCGACAGCTGGCATGTCGTTAGGCAATCTGTATAAATAAATTGGATCTCTTGCAACTTCATATAAATGATTTTTAGCAAGCCAGGAAGTGGTTGAGCAGTGATAGTGCTGAGCTAAATTGCAGTGAAAGGCCACTGTTGCCTGGGTTTGGATTTTAAAAGTTTATCGTATTAATGGTTGCATAAAGTGACTATTTTGCAGGACTTTCTTCACTGAGCTCTGTGAGGACGCTGAGAAAAAGGGTATAGCATTTGCGGAAAGGACTTTAAAGCAAGTGAGCGCCGAAAACTTGGAGAAAGAAATAAAAACAACGCGTGAGGCTGTTGGTGAAACGGCACTCAATTTTTATATGTATGTTGACAACAAAGGCAATTCGCATGGTATGTTTTTTTGCTTTAATGTCTCTGGTTCCTTTACTTTCAACCACTACTTTTTTATAAGAGTGCTCTGTCTTTTTATTGTTCTTAATTATAACGTGGCGCAGTAGCAAATTTTGCCGTTTCCGTGCGATAGTTCGATGTTCAATCCCTCCAGTGTGGTAACTGATCCTTTTACAATTCGTTTATTCGTTTTTACTGCATATTGATGTTGGTGAATATCAGGAAATCAATTATACCACCAGTTTACGTCTAAGTATTTCTCGAAAAAGCGCAACAACAACATCCTTGACAGCGAATGGCTTCTGTTGGCACTGCTACCGCCTGGATTACTTCCGAGCTTCCAAT